TAAAGAGAGGTGCTTACATCTACTTGTGTAATCAAGAGTGGTGTCACTTCCTAGCAGTTGGCGTGTAAAACGTCTTTGAACATCTTCTACTCTTATTTTGTCAGTGGTATTCATATTAGAGAAGATAAAAGAGCAGTATTCTAAGGAAGGTCGTACACATATTTTGTAGAGGGTAAGCTTGGCATCTGTCGTTAAGAAATTTTTTGTTATGAAGCCAATTAGACGTCTGGCTTTAGAAATAATGAAGGAGGCGTGTGCTTTAAAGTTTAGGCTTCCTGTGTAATTTATTCCTAGATCGTGTACTGAATTAAGTGTCTGGACTTTACTTTTATTTAAGTAAAGTTGGGGTTCATAGGGGTGCTTTCCAAAGTGCATGATCCCGCATTTGTGGAGGTTAAATGGTAATTGCCACTTTTCGCTCCAGATAGTTAGGTTATTGAGCTCATCTTGAATCAGGCGTACACTTTCACTTAGAACCTCTGGCTTATAGCTGTATACTATTTTGAGATCATCAGCATATAAGTATGGTTTCCCAGATTTTATGATGTTACATATATCGTTTATATACATGAGAAACAAAAGTGGGCCCAATACACTTCCCTGGATGACGCCACTAGTTATTGGTCTAGGTAATGAGAGACAGTCGTTGTACTTTACCATTTGTTTACGTCCCTTTAAGAATGAAACAAACCATGAATAGAGTGGGTTGTTGATTCCGAAGGACCGTAGTTTGGCTAGAAGCCGTTTGTGTGGAACCTTATCAAAAGCTTTCCTAAAGTCTAAAAATATGACTGATACAAGGAGTCCATTGTCTCGTTTCAGAGTTATATCATTCATGTAGTCCACTAGGCATGTATCACATGATCTGGACCTAAGAAATCCATGTTGGGAGACCGAGATGAGATTATTAGTAATTACATGTTGGACTAACGCCGCTTTAACTACTTTCTCCATCACTCTAGACACCACTGAAGTTATGTTTATGGGTCGGTAATTTTCAACATTTGCTTCAGGTCCTGTTTTAATTTTGGGAATGATGTGTGTAGTTGTCCAGGCAGTAGGGTAATGCGCTGTAGAGAGTGATATTGCAAATAGTTTGAGTAATAAAACACACATATCATCGCCTCCACGTTTTAGCATGCTAGCCGGAATACCATCTGGTCCATCAGTGTAGGAGTATTTCAGTGTACTAATTGCCTTAGAGATATTCTGTACATTGAAGTCTACGTTAGTAATCTCACAGGTAGATGCTGTGATAAGTGCTAAATCATTAAGTGGTTTTTCATCAGTTAATGAGGAACAAAAGTGTTCATTAAATAGTTCCGTAACAAGTTTAGGATCTTCGTATACTTGTTTGTCTTTAATAAATATGTTTCCTGTCGACTTAGAACGTTTAAGTTTATTTTGAAAGAGTGTGGTGAGTGCTGAGGAGTTATTACTAAGTTCGACAGCACGTTGTTCCTGTTCGATTGCTTTTTGTGTACTTATTGCGTCTGTCTGGACAAGTATTTTTGTCATCGTTACTAAAGAGGAGAAGTCATTAGAGTTTTGGAAGCGAGTACAATGTCTCTGCAGACGTCTTCGTGTACCGATCGGTATAAACAGATCTTTAGAAAACTTAGGTCTCCAGTACTCTAAAGGTGCGATTCATGATGTTGTGATAAAATATATTGGTTAGTGTGTCGGTATTGTTTGCAGTAAAGAATGTTCCCCAGTCAGTGCTTCTTAGGTAATTGTGAAAATTATTCCAATCTACCTTGCGATAGTTTCTACGAAGGGTTACATTTTTACGTCTACCGTTTGTGTTTTTTATATTAAGGCTACATACGACAATGTTATGATCACTACCTGGAAACTTTTTTCCAATATACACAGTATTGGGGGTGAGGCCACTGGTAAAGACTAATTCCAAGATATTTTGATGTCTGGTAGGGCTACTAACATATTGAGTCCATTGTCCTAGTTCTAGACATTTAATAAATGATTCATAACGTTTCGGAGCTTTGACTGGAAACCAAGAAATTTCAGGCATGTTGAAGTCACCACAAATGAGCTTGCTTGTGAATGGAAGGGATGATGCTAGTGTGAATACCTCTGATAATACTGCTATTTCACCTATTGCCAAATTAGGTTGCTGGTAGATACAGCCGAACAGTAAGGTAATGGAATTTGATGGCTTTAAAACAATCCACACCGAGTCCTTCAGTTTGTTTAGTTCAGGTATATCGCATATTAGTGAGTTTAAGCTAGAGTGAGCATAAATAAGGCATCCTCCGCCTCGTCCTTTCAATCTATCGCTTCTATATAGGAGGTAGTTATCAAGAGATATACTTAGATCGGAAATACTACTGTTAGTCCAAGCTTCAGATATCATTATAAGTGATGGTTGATATATGGAAGCAAACAGCTAAATCAGTCTTTTTATTGCAGATCGACCTAGCGTTGATAAGACACATATTAAACAAGTGGCCTACTAAGTTAAAGTGAGTGAGAGTATCTCGATTAAAGATGTCAAGATCCTCGCGTGAGTGATGTATGTTTGAAGTAATGGATTGAGCGTTTTTCAATAGCTCTGTATTTTGATAGCTAGAGTTACTGGGGCATGTATCAAATGAGCTAGTGAAGTTGCTTGGGGAGTTTATCCAGGAGGAAATGGGGGGAGTACTTTCTGATGCGAACTGTACGGGGGAAGCGAGTTTATGTTCCGCACTTGGTTTGAAATGACTAGGGCTATATGCTTCAACAGGGGTGCAACTAGAGGCCTTATTCCAAAAAAATCTGGTACATGTTGACTGTAAAGTGTACTGTTATTTGCAAGACAGTTTTGATGGTTAAGCTCGTAGCCTCTGTTATAACTATTTGCGCTAGTGCGAGCATGATGGGGAAACCAAGGCACTATCTTAGGTCCCCTATTGTTCGTTCTCTACGTTACTGAGTTATCGTGACTGCTTAAGTCATCGACATTATCGTTTCCAGATGTTGAAATCTGGAGAACAAGTTTTAAGGCTGATCATTTTGTTTCTAATCTCACCCAAACGACTTTGTTAGGTGATCATAAGGTTTGGGCATGAGAATTAATTCTAGGAATAAAGTGCTAATACAGATAAGGAACGGTAATAGTTACCAGTATACTATCAACGGTACATCTGTTCTGTGTATGTGGAAACAAACACTTGGGGGTAAAATTTAGTCGCGAATTGAAACACCTGTATATTGAGAAACTGCAGCTGCCAAAGGCTTTCGAGAGCTATGACCACTTCGCCAGTTATTCGAATGCCCTGAAGAGGAGACGCTTGGAATTTTGTGTCTTGCCTACGTAAGGCCACACCTAGAGTACTGTTATGAAGGAGCTAATTCATGTCTTATTAAGGATGCAAGCACATTCGAATGTTTTCTGCGTATGAAAACAAAATTAGTAAGGAGCCTTTCCTAATGACGATCACAAAACGCCTGCAGATTTTCATTTTATCATATCGTAGGACACGGGGTGACATTATATTTGCATTCTGAGTCTTTAATAACGATTTGATTAGTAATACGTCTGATATTTTTGCCCTCATCCCTGGGAGCATAGCGAGAAGGCTCGAAATTCGTTCACCCATTTGTAAAAATAACGTTTTGGTTGATGTCAGTTTGTGATGAAGACCCTATATCCAGGTCTGTGGTTGTACTAATTGCATTTACACTTGGATAATTTGGTCCTATTATTAATGAGTTTGTAGATGTCATTACCACGGTTTGACTTGATAATTTTAAACAAGTTTAGCATTGGGTAGATTGTTACTAAGAAATGACATTATAAAAATAGCCTAAAAAGGGGGAGAAAAATCAAGTTTTTTAAATTTTGTGACGTCACGCGACTCAGTTCGAGCCACTACTTCAGAGAATAACTCAATAAAGCAAGAATGTCTGCTTCATTCCTATGTACTATTTAAACGAATTTACTTTATCCATTCTCTGAGGAAGTGGCTTACACTGAGTCACGAAACCTCAGAAAATTTAATCTCTCTACTCATTGTGATATTACAAACACATTACTTTTATTAATAATATACCGAATGCTCAATGTATTTGAAATTATCAAGTTAAACTTTGGTAATGGGACCTACAGAGTTCAATATTATTACTATGACAAGGCATCACTGTCATTTTTTCGCTCTTAGGAATTACCAACCATATACACATCTATAACTCCGTACATTACCGTATTACATACCCCTAACACATGTTATAGTTCTAAACATATATGCACCATTGTAATATTTTTTTGTGAGAATGGCACCTCTCGTTTTTGCGTGTATCTTCTTTCTAACTTATGTGTCAGTGTTACCTCTGAACACCCTGAGCGAAGCTATGTAGATATGATTGACAGACTTACCTTGCTAATAATTTTTGTCATTATTCATACTTTCCATAATCTTAACTAATTGGTACATAACATTTACTACAATAATTATAATTACCAATATTATCCCATGTAAGGTTGGTATTATTACCACCATCATTACTTTCGGGATCGTCAATGTCACAAACAACCGACAGTGATCACTTAACAAACAAAATTGTGATAGTCGGTGTTCAGATATACGTGACACTTGGTCATTCGATGAAGATTCGTGACCTCATCAACTGATTTAGCATCATTCCCTAATACCCTGTGTCTAACCTCAATCTTACTTACCACGTGATCACAACAGATGAGTAATATTTCTAAGGCATCTCCGATTGAATACTAGTAACTTATGAGTATCTTCTACAATTAATGATCACGTTTTGTAGCCGTAAAGTAGAACAAAGCGAACTGTTGTGTAGTATACTCGTCCCTTAATTGATAACACCTGTAAATCATTGAACGCCGAACATGTGCTTTTTCATGAACTATTGCGAACTCCGCATAATCTAATGTTATCAAGCAAACTCACCACAGACCCATATGGTATTTTATTGCTTATATGAGATGAACTTCCTGGCATAAACGATTGTCTGTAATCGCATTACTATTTCCCAGCTTTGGAATCATTTAATCACAATGGTTATAAAGTTTTTTATTGTCATACTAAATAAAGATCTACAAGGATGATTAAGAGTACAATCTATCGATGTTCATAAAATAGTAATCAGAATAACAAAAATCCGTTAGACTAAAGTAATTGAGATGGACATGATTGAGAGTTGTAAATGTGCATGATTTCAAATATATCTTTCTCGGTGCATGAAGATTTACCTAACAACTGTTGACGTATAATTAAAGCCAAAAGTGTATTGAACCGTAATAAGATCACATCATTATACACCCATTCGTTTGATCCAACCTAAAAATAAGAATATATATAATTACTACTGTTAATATTCAGTGAAAGGACAATAAAAATTATAACTTATGTTTGAATATTCGATAATAGAAAGGTAGTGTGAGGATGGTCTACAGGTGAAGTTGAGGAAGCTCTAAGAAGCCCAGAAGGAGCCGGACATATTCCATCCAATCAGTTTTTGGAAGAATATTCTAGAATCACTACGTGTAGCTTCCTTATTGGACAATGCTGATAACTCCCTGTGTGTGGATTGGATAACTACAATGATGATTTCGTTTCTACTAAAAATCATAAATACCTGACAGTTTTGTACCATAATCGACACTCTTTCTACTTGTCTTCTGATTTGTGACTTGGGAGGGTTTTAGCGTTCGAGTGCTCAAGTATTACTCGACAGACTAAGAATCTAAGTTCGAGATATAACAGGTAGTAACACTAAAAATGTGAACTTTGTTGAGATTAAAAGCAAGGAATATTTAAGCTCCATAAATACAATATAAATTAGCAACATTGGAGTTGATAAATGAAATTTCAATCAACTTTTAATATACTTATGGGTCCTTCCACGTGTGGGCAGCCGGGAAGTGATATTGGCCCTCATACCCATAACTGCACCCGAGACCAAGTTGATCACATTCAAATCCTTCCTACACCTGCTAATAACTCTTATCTCCACGACTGATAATCATGGGTAGCTAACCTAACACCCAGAGCCTTTGACCTAAAGGTCTAACCCACAAAGCAGTGGAGCATCGTAAGGAGATGCAGTCCCATGATAGCAGGTGACCAACGATTGATTCATACGCCATTTGTTCTCTCAGGATCCTGGAGCCCATGTGCACCGTCGGTTTAAAGTTGTGGTTTTCCAACAACCCTAGATGGACTTTCTGTGTCCACCAACTCGGTTAAAGCGCCGTACATTCGCTTTTCGTCCTCTCAATTTCGTAAAAAACAATAATACAACGACAAGGCAGTGAGTAGGACTATTACCAACCTTATATGTGAAGAACAGGAAATCATATTATGTAACAATGACTGGAACAATATAATAATGCATTTCTTGTTTATTATTAGTTACTAACTTACTTCACTAACCATTATAAAGAACTCAAAAAGTCTATAACTCACTTTATTCAGTAATACTTCAGGCAATTGTTCAACAATATCAAATGCCAAATATTGTAATTCTTTAAAAACATCAGATTTAGCAGTAAACCATCTTTCATTTAAATAACGATTAACTTTGTGCTTAGATGCTAATAGTTTTAAAAACCGTAATCGGAAATCTTGTACTTTATCATTCTTAAGAATAGTGAAGAAAAAACAAGTAATTGTTAAAAATGACTAATTCAAACTGTTGCAATTTACTAAAAACTGAAGTAAAAAATAGAACACTGATTGAAATAAACAATCAGTTTATCCTTTAGTCATCTATACTTGATCGAGAATCGTGACCTGCTTTTGTTTGTGCACTCGGGAAGTATCCTGGCCCTTACATAAATCGAATGATTTATGTGGTGCATATCTATGTTTGTGTTTAAATAAATAAGATCTAGCAAAACACGAGTATTCAGTGTAGTGGTAGCATTACCTCGATCATCCATAGTATTATCGTACAGTGATAGTATATCTCTGAAAACAGGAAATATACCTAATTCCCCCGTTACATCATGTATCATTAGTTAGATATGTCTTCGATCATTCGACGACTTTTCACAATTTCTTACACGGTTTACAAACAGCTAGCCATTATAAATTGTCATTTAGTTATATTCCTAGAAGCAGTCTCATTGATAAACGACTCGTCATCTGAATCTGAATAAATTCCGCTAACCGATGACCATGTATCCCACGTTTTACGCTGCGCATAACTGGCTGAAGAGAAGCTTTTATTCCAATCTCATAAATATGAGTTTTCAGGATATATGGAGTGCAAAATATGCTGAAGTTAATACCACTTTCAATATCAGATAATGATAACTGGCCAACTGAACCAAAGTACACGATTGATATTTCCACCTGCAACTCAGTGATTGATGGTTAAGTAGTTTAGCCATCGGGGTTAATGTACTTGGACAGTCATGCTTTATGTCGGGACATGTAGATGTCTCGGCAGAACGACATGTGATTCACTTTTTCAAATGCCTAAAAGAGTTTTAATCACCCTCTGGGATAGTAGTATTGGGAGCATAAATTCCTGAGGAGTACTACTTACTAACCTGAATCAAGTAGACAACGAGGAATATCGTGACATAACATTTAAAAAGACATTTATCAGATATTGACATAATTTTACAAAGCCAGAACTTGAACTAATCACAAGTGTAACAAAAAACTGGAAAATACAAAACCGATGACTGGACTAGCTTATATTCTCATCAAGAGAAAATTTAAAAATAACATTGTGTTCTAGGAAACACGTGTGTATACACTACCAGAAAACGAAAACTGAAAAAATCAGTAGAATACTGACATATTATAGCTAACTTACTGGATCTGAAGCAGGAAAATACTGATTCAACTTGGTAAAACACATTGTACAGTCATTTGTTGATGAAAACGATTCCAAGTATAAATGCATAATCTAAATTGCAGTAAGTTAAAAAAATTTCTTTGTATGATTAATTAATCCAGGAGAACAAGATTCTAGAGCCATAGAAACTCAGTGCTAAATGGTTTCTCTTAATTTTGGGGAATAGCGGTGGTTTAAGTCTAATCTACACTCCAAGCATCATCCCAGAAAGTATATTCCTTTGTATAAATCTTTGAAATCCAAACTTTATCACTCATAATCCAATCTCCACCCTCACCATAGTTACTACCAAGCTTTTTTTGATGCATAGCAGATAAACTATTACTACTCATACAGCAAATACTTACTAGATCCATCTTTTAATAATATCACCAAAGACTAAAGATCGCAATAAAATAATCCGTTGTGAAACTATTCAGAGATCACATAGAAAAGAAAAACAGAAAAAACAAAAAACTATGTTTAGTGAATCCCATAGCTAACTTTCAGGACGTTTAAACATGACAAAAAAACAAGTTCTCAATGAGTCCCACTCACTCGGATCCTTAAGGATGAGCGGTTAGATGATCTTCTACACCAACCAACAAATTGTGTTAACTAGGTTATAACGGTTTAAGTGCTATGTAATTGTTTTACAAGAACAAAAACGATTTTACCAGTGATGTGCTCGAGAGAACTCAGATGATACAGTTGATTGCTTTAGTTGAGATGCCCAAAGCTAGCTAACTAATTATTCAATCGTAAATTGGGTGAAACGTCAACAAATTAATGACGAACTACAGAGTATAATTATAGATTTTAAAGCAACATAAGAATATGATGTTTAATTTTTTAAAAAGCAAATGAAAACACTGCAGTCCACCAATTCAAACTTCAAGAAATGAGCTTGTGAACCTGATATAAGACTAACACCCCAAAACATACATCTATGCTTGTCAAGCATACTCAAGATTGATTGGTCGATTGTTGGATCTGGAAACTCATAACTAATAAAAAAACATTTCAACCACATGATTTGTACATACATTGCTGTTGTCTGTTGTCATTAAATTATTTTAATAGCAAACATAACATCCAGAATTTTAGACAAAATGTGTACCCTCATGTAGCAAGAACGAAATCATATTGATGTACAACACAACACACAAGTGGAAACTTACAACACGTCTGGCTTCGTTCAAGTAATTGCGAAGATGTGGTTTATATCGAGACGAATCATCCAATCCTGAAAATAGATCATCTCCTACTGTAATCAAAATTTCTAACTGATTTTGCCAATCATTGGTTAAACTTAAATTGTTGGAAGTATTCTCAACAAAATTTCCATCTGAAGTCTTTGGAAATAACACTGCTGCACAACACCACACACAAAAAGGAGGTGGTTTAGAGGACAAATGACTGTACAGCTGAATGACTAAAAGAAAGAGAAATAATGTGTCAAGTACATAAAATACGCAAGTTTTGTAAGAACCATGACGAAAAAATACTTATTCGCCAAATGTGGCGATTTCAAATTATCGGTGAAATTTAATCAACTGACCGCTTTCAAATTAACTTGTATTTTCAGCGAAGACTTATTTCAACTTTCGTTATGATACGATGATCTGACTAACAAACCTATTGAGTGAACTTGATTAAATGATTACTCCAACGGTGTGTGAATGCATAGATTTGTTGAAAAAACTAAGCTCATACTCTCGATTGAGCGAACTACTAACCAACTGACTAAATGTGTCTAACTGATATAAATCTCCCACTTATATACATAATGTTAAGACAGAATTATACGAATATAGGGTAATTATCAAAATAATTAATCCAATGTGCATATGAGGTTAACACATATCCAGAGGCTAAAATTCATTCATTGCATCACTTTGTAGTTAAAACTTACAACTAACCCTTCACTAATGTTATCACAAGCGATTAACCTGAACTTTAATGTGAAATTTACGAAACTTTAGGAAAAAGGTAATAATTGCAATGAAAATTATATAGCTACCTTCTTTTGCTACTGATGTATACCCCTTTCGAAGAACGAATATTAGAATGGTATTCAGCAGGAATTTGTCACGACTTCCTGATTAGTAGGTGTTTAACACTGGAGCAAGCTTACCATGTAGTCCAATTAACTCTTCATTTATATGAAGATTGACTGTACCACCCTGAGTTTTAAGGAAAAAAGATATCTGAACAATGTCTAACACTCAAAAAGACGAGTACAGGGTACTATTTTAGGCACAGAACTACAGTGAAATATACGGGCAGAAGCACCAAAATGAGGGCTAAGGAATAATACGATGTCGAGAACTTGGAGGCGAATGAACAGTACGCTTACTAACACTACTTCTGCCGATCACAAACTATACCAGCCAGTCACTAACTACCGATTATTGGTAAACCAAATCCCAAGCTGGAAACTGGACCCCTTACAAAGAATAGATCAATAGTCAATACCTTTGAGGATTCACCCTCGTCTACTTTATAACCCACTCCCTACAACCTACCCTAAAATAAAAAGCTGAGGAACGTAATAGTTAACCGAGTATATCTCGTCACAACCCCTCACTGACAAAACCAATATTCAATCACTTTCTTGGTCATGCTTAACGCCTGTAAGCAACCACTTTTCGATGTGCTGAATAGGATTACTAAATTCAAATCTTGTACGCTTTAATGCATCATAAAGAAATGGCGGACACTTAACAACTTCCCACAAAGTCTACTACTGTCAGTCTCACAGGCTGTGAATGTCTTAAATAAAGATGTTTGAAATTACTCCATTACTGTTTTACATGTAGGAGCAAAAAGGTGCAGCAGACAGATAGTTTAGCACAGTATTTAGGCTAATAAGAAATAGTTTGATGTACTTGTCGAATTCCAAATTTGTCCGACCGGCTAGGGCAAAATATCTACAGATAACCATGCCCTGAAACAAAAATCAAGCAGGTAATTTGTATGGTTTCAAAATTCATTCTGGCCAAATCCTGAGTATATTTTGATAACCATGATACCCCGAAAAAAATTTTCTTGAGGGACATATGTCCAATGATCAACTCAATGCCTAGTAATAGTCCGAAAATTTTCATAAGTCCCCCTGAGAACCCGAGGAGTATCATCCGGATGCCTTAGTAGTGACACTAATACCTGAAATTCGCGAAAATTTTGGGATTTTTCCGCAATGTGAAGACTCTTGGTCTTTTAGATGATCTAGGGAAATTGTGGTTAAAAGCTGAAATTCTGAAGGAATATGGGTAAAACCCCAGACCAGGGGAAATTTTGGGGTTATATCGCAATTCAACAAAACCCGGATTAGGACACTTGCGGTCAGAACACACCCGTGATATAACGACGCAACATCCCTATTTTGGGGAAATCTTTGTCCGCTCTGGAAAACTTATAATAGAAAATTTTGTGGAAACGGTACAAAAACACAAAACATTTTCCCAGTTCTCAAGAAATTTCGCCAAACTTTGGAGAGAACCCCGAATTTCTTTGAAATTTAGGGACAAGGGACTAACAGCTTTAGGACGAATAGTTGATTTACAGGAAAGTAATAAAGCAAAACACTATGAATATACAGATGAGAAAACGCGCATCCTTAGATTATTTTTTAAGTACGAAGGGCACGAATACACGTTGGAACAACAAACGGATTATTCAGTACACACTTACAGGTTCATTCATAAGTCATAGGGTGTAATATATGGCTTGAAACAGTGTTATGGAATAAACACCACTCCCATCAGCAAAATATCAGAACTCAAATTCCGCAGTACGGCCTCGCGTTACAGATTAGAGACAAATTAAAACAAATGATAATTTTCAAAACGTATAGCAATTTTAACAGTTATTCTCCACGTTTATTGCTCCCAAATTTTCATCTTTCGCTTGACTATTTATTTCCGTTCGTCCGTTGTTTCGTCTGCAAGGGCATATATATTTAATGATTTTTGCAACGACAGAAAAAATAGGCCACATTCTTTTCATTTATTAGTGGCACTTTGTGTATAATCACATGTATGTTCGTGTCAGTAAAAACAGACAAAGTTGGATGGTTGATGAATATATACCCTACTGTTGTTATTCAAATTAACTTTATTTCAGTCATCTATTCTTTTGCATTATAAACCACGGTTCGTGACTGAAGATTGTAATAATTTAATAATGTTCATTCAGGCCATTCAACGCTGTTTTGGAATTGTGGTCCGGATTACTATGCAATAACACTATCTGACTTATAACTGGCGTTACAAAATTGTCACTACGTGCAGAGGAACATTTGTTAATCTAGTGGACACATTTGCGATTACTAACCCAGAAAAAACATTCAGTTCATAAAATTTTTATCATTTTTGTCATTCACAATACTGTATCTGTAAACAATTCCTCGAAATCAAAAGCTTTTCAGGTGTTCGACATTGGATGCTGACCACATTAGTTTAAGTGGACTTGTTTAACTGAAAGCGTGCGGTCATGCATCCGCACGAGACCTCAGTGTGGGAAGCATCTCCTACGTTAACTAGCCATATTAGAGCAACCGCTTTTCGATATATTGATAACGTATTGAATATTTCTTTCCAACCTCTTCGCATCTGACTTCTGATTTGAACTAAGTGGGGGACGATTCGAATATAGGTGTTAATGGTTAACAGTTGTCAAGCTACAATACAGGTCGTATCTTCAGTGGTGAGCCCGACGTGATCAGGTACACCAAACGTATAAACTGTGAGTCTGTTCCTTTTGGGAACTCCATTATTCATTGTTTTTCTTCATTTGACTTTCATATATTGTGATATTTTTTCGAGTTTCCGTAAATACTTTAACTAATTATTTTTCCTTCATTATAAATCTTGATTTTTCACAATGACTGAACAGACACCCAAAGTATTTAAATTGAAGACTACACCCCCCACCCACTGTTCAGTTAACGCCCTTTTGGCAGGATAACATCGAAGTCTGGTTCTGCTACGCAGAGGCACGGCATCATGGACTTACACACAAAGTTCCTCGCGGTTGTTAAGGCACCGCCGCGCGAATTTAACAGGTACGCCACACCTAGGATGCTGACTAGTGATGTTTCGGAACCTTGCGAAATTCTTAAACGGTCGATTCTTAGACGAGGATATCTAACCGATCGACAAAGGTTGGATCAACTCCTTAACAATATCGACCTGAAACATGGTTCTGCGACGGACATGTTGCTTAGGATGAGAGAAGTCATCGACCATCGAACTTTCGATGATGGCCTATTCAAACAGCTTTTCTTATCAAATCTCCCGCAACAGGTGCAGGCAGTTCTCGTCAAGTTTCAAAACAACGCCGTAGACGAACTGTCTGAATCTGCCGAACGCATTTTAGAAATTACGTAATTTACTAACGCCGATGTCTTTTCAGTCAAATAGAAACCCCGAACGACCCCGAATGTCATTAACGAATTATGTCACACACTCACATGATATCTTCGATTTCGAAATGTCCGTAGACGGTCAAGAACCGCGTTTCGGTGGTGTAACAACCAGTACGGCAAGTCTTCTAGAAATTACAGGAAACCCTGCAATTACACGAACTCTAAATCGACTGACACGAAAAACAGTTCGGGAAACTTCCCAGCCGGCACGCGTTAATGGCAACCGTAGTCAGTGAACATCCGTCTGTTGTACGTCACAGATGTGACGACGAAAGTTCGCTATCTCGTCAACACCGGCGCAAAAGTCGGCGTTCATCCAGAAAATCCCGATGACAGACTTCGCGAGTCTGTTTTAAGTTTACAAGCGACAAACGGATAGCCGATCGCTACTTACGGTAAAAGGTACGTCTACCTTAACGTGCGTTTACGCAAACCCATACACTGGATTTTCGTATCCGCAGATGTTTCTATACCAATGATTGGTATAGACCTGTAACAACACCACAATCTACTCATCGACACACGCTCACGAAGATTAATAGGCGGAAACACTAAGTTATCCGTTTGCGTAACTCCTTATTCCGGTTGCAGATTATCCCCAGACACAATTAAGCACACCATAGACCCATTGTACCAATCAGTACTCGACAAATACTCCGGGATACACCAATCGCAATCGAAATTGCCTTGTGTAACCAGCAATGTTACACATCACATCTCGACTACAGGATCACCTGTATTCTCGAAAGCACGCCGACTGGCTCCCGAAAAGCATAGGTTGGCTGAGAACGAATTCGACAACATGATAGACTTAGGAATAATTCAACCATCAAATAGCCCATGGTCATCCCCCTTGCACACGGTCCCTAAAAAGGACAGCAATGATTAGCGTCCAACTGGTGATTATCGGCGTCTGAATGCTAAAACCATTCCCGATCGTTATCCGTTTTCTCACATTCACGATTCGACAGCTACCTTGAAAGGTAAACTGTCTTTTCGAAAACAGACTTGGTTAAAGCTTATAACCAAATTCCTATGTCAACTGACGACAGTCCAAAAACCGCCATCATAAATCCTTTCGTGCTCTACGAATTTTTACAAATGCCTTTCGATCTAAGTGATGCTTCTCAAACCTTCCAAAGTTTCATAGATCACGTTTTCCGAGGTCTCAACTTCGTACATGCGTATGTTGATGACTGTCTAATAGCAATTCCGGACAGAGAATCACATCTCCAGCATCTGGACGTTGTTTTCGAATGACTTCAAAGACATGACATTGCTGTGAACATTCAGAGATGCCAAATCGGAACCAACTTCTTAGACATCTTAGGACACACTATTGATGCCCAAGGCATCCGACCTCTTAGAAGCAAAGTGGCGGCCACTCTGGATTACCCAGAATTGACCACGATTAAGCAGTTGCGCACTTTTAACGGTCTTGTAAGTTTATGCAGACGATTCATATTGTAGCTGTAAATAATTCCCCAAAATCAATAGCTCATTAAGTGTTTCACATTGGATGCTGACCATGTTGTTTAAAAGGACTTGTTTAACTGAAGGCTTTCGGTCATGCATCCGTACCAGATCACTTTTCGACTCAGCGTGGGACACAGCTACTACGTTCACTATCTAGCTAAGAACAAACGCTTCTCGATATATTGGTAACGTATCAAATATATTTTTCCTACCTCTTCTCGTCTGACTTCTGATTTCCATTGGGCGGAAGTAGCTTCGCATATAGAAGGTGCTCCTGGTCGCTAGTTGTCAAACTAGAATACTAGTCGTATCCTCAATACATAAATCCGCATCCTTTATGAAACTATTAACCGAACAATTCCATGGAAATGCGAAATCAATTACACTAGATGATACCGCTCGAAAAGCATTCTCCACAGATGAGAAACATATGGCTAAGGCAACGCTGCTCGCACATCAGGACACTCAAGAGCCCATTGATATTGCCGTAGACGCATCCGATTCAGCAATCGGAGGAGTCTTACAACAATGGGTTAACCGCTCTTGGCAACCTTTAGTATTTTTCTCGAGACGGTTGCTAGGCACTGAATCTAGGTACAACACTTTCGGTAGGGAACTCCTTCAAAGTTCTTCAACGTGAACCCAAGTACTATGTAGTTGATAAGAACGGCACGAACGATAGCATCAGTATCGATCTCCTCAAACTTTTGCTAGGGTTTATTTAACATCATATGTTTCACCATGGTCACGAAGATAACTTATAAGCAATCTGAATGCCGTCTTGTTGTATAACAAGTCAACAAAATGAAAGGGAATGCTGACTGCAAACCTGAGTGCCAAAGGAAAAGAACATCTATCTCAACTTACTCTAAAACCTGTGAGAGCATTAAAGCTTCACAGCAACTTTTTCATACTTATGAATCTGAAAGACAGTTCCGACCTTCTTTCCGATCTGCACGACAAAAGTAGTGAGGATGCAACGGATGGAAGCTGTGTCCCACGCCGAGTTGCAACGTGATCTGGCGCGGATGCATGACCGAAAGCCTTCAGTTAAACAAGTTCACTTAAACAACATGGTCAGCATCCAATGTGGAACACTTAATGAGCTATTGATTTTGGGGAATTATTTACAGCTACAGATCACACACCCCTAGTGAGGTAGTGATTCCCCTAAGACGTGACCAGCCAGAAATTTAAACCCAACGGGTTTGTCGTTGGTAAACACTCTTCTGATAGCTTGCTTCGTTTAGCAGCGTCTGTTCGTCTTTCCTTAAACTATGGGACCAAAATGTACAACATAGCAATAAAGAAATATAGTACAATGAAAATTTTGGTTCCTTGCGAAACTTCGTCGTTCCTTTCCAGCCGTCCTGGAAAACAGGAAAAATAAAACGTGTGAGTGCATGTCGAAAATACACTCGTACTTGCGTAAGGACACAAGATGAGCGGGGGAAAAATGGATAAACTAAAACACTTACAAACAGCGCAAAAGCGATCGGAAAAAAAACTGTTTTTTTATATATATATATAAAATCTAAATACGCTCAAAAAAATAAAATGTTTAGTTTGTTTTTGGTTTTTTTATATAAATAAAAAAATGAGCATATTAAAAAAAATTTATAATAAACAATGATAGGGTAATTCAAGATAAAGCTTATGTCCTACGTGCAATATTCGTTAAGATGTTCTGGAAATCTTACTCGTCTTCCAGAACGCGTTGTTTTAGGTTTTTCTATCGACGTTGACGAAGTATCAAGTTGTGTGTCGGCTGTCGTGTAGGGTACTACGAGTGTAGTAGCTGTGTCGTTTGCTTGTACCGAAGGAAAATCGACGTAGCTAGGGTTTCCTTCTAGGTACGCAGCTTTGAGTCGATCGATACTGATGCTATCTTTC